ACGGTACCACACTCTCCTGGGGGGACTGCCACGGCACAAAACGCCTGGTCTTCCACGGAGTCCATGTCGCTCTCATGCCCACCACTTGCGCTAGGACGGCCTCCTCCGTCGCGCACTTTTCTTTGTTGTGGCCCCACCCCTCGCAGCGCGCACACCACGGCACGAAGTCCTTCTCGTTGGTAGTGCAGCCGATCGCTTGATGTCCACGATGTCCACACCTAAAGCACCGGCCCGGGAACTTATAGTCCCCGCCACCGCCGCCATCGGCGCCTCCACTGCTGCTTCCCTGGCTCTCCTCGACTCCTCCGGATCCGCCTGAGCGGCCGCCGCGACCGCCGCCGCCGCCGCCGCGACCGCCTCCGCCGCGGCCACGACTGCTGCTGCGGCCACGGCCGCCGCCACGACCACGACCTTGCCCCTGACTCCTACTTGAGTACCGCTCCCTGTGGCTCTCACCGTCGACGAAGTACGCTTGCTCTGCGCCCTTCGCCCCTTTTCCTTTCCCCTGCTCCAGCTTGTCCTTGATCGCCTTATATTCGATCATTACTTCCTTTAAGACACCGGTCCGCGTCAACTTCTTCGCGTGTCGCAGGTTGTGCTTTGTCATGGCATACTTGTCCGAAAGGGCATCCAGAAAGAGGTGAAGGACGAACGTTTCGTTGACAGTTAGTCCTTTCTCGGTTAAGGACTTTGCGGTTTAGAGCATCTTATTTAGGGCGTTTTGGGGGTTTCCACTTCTAGAGATCTTGGTCGACGTCAGGGACTTGAGGTCCTCTGACGGCTGTACAGATGATTCAGGGTCGTGTATGGTCTTGGGCTCACGAAGAGCCCCCTGGGGCGTCTCTGCCCTCTTCATGATTTTCCGATCTTTCTCTTTCAACACGTGAGACAGGAAGTTCCGCGCGTGGAATGCGAGCTCTACTTGCTCGCTCCGGTACTGCTGTGACAGCGAAAACTTTCTCTTTCCGCTGTTGACGGGGATCTCCAAGCTCCCGCTTTCTTCAAATTGTTCTAACACGTTCGCGCCATTAGCTGCCATGCGGAAATCATTTAGTCATTCGTCAAAATCTTCCGATTTCCCGCTGAACGAAGAAGAAGTGTACCGCACACTTTGCTACCCCGTCGCTGGGGTTGTGGCTCCGTATCCAAAGCCAACAGCAGCACGACCATCTCCCATGGCACTACTATAACCTTGGTTGTGAGCAGCGGCTACTCTCACCTCNGCTTGCCTTCATGGTATCCTCCACTAGAGACATTAGCTGGCTCATCTGATCCGTCAGCGAGCTAACTTGCATCCTCAGGGCCACGAGCTCTTCTCTTGACCTCTTTCTGTTTTCCGCCGCAGAGTCGCCGGAGGAGTCACCCCCATCTCCTCGACCTGACATTGCTAATGGACTCTCCCTCGAGGGACTGACACTAGTGTGTTCGTATATGTCCTTTACTTGGAAGAGGAAGACGTTTTATCTCTTGTATTAGACACGCAAGGGGAGTAGGGAGAAGTGAAGCCCTCTTTGGAGTTCGAGGGGTCCCCGCACATGCATCCTGTAGATATGCCCCATCTGCGTGCCCTCTGTTGTTGCCGGTAGATCTAANCCTCCACTAGAGACATTAGCTGGCTCATCTGATCCGTCAGCGAGCTAACTTGCATCCTCAGGGCCACGAGCTCTTCTCTTGACCTCTTTCTGTTTTCCGCCGCAGAGTCGCCGGAGGAGTCACCCCCATCTCCTCGACCTGACATTGCTAATGGACTCTCCCTCGAGGGACTGACACTAGTGTGTTCGTATATGTCCTTTACTTGGAAGAGGAAGACGTTTTATCTCTTGTATTAGACACGCAAGGGGAGTAGGGAGAAGTGAAGCCCTCTTTGGAGTTCGAGGGGTCCCCGCACATGCATCCTGTAGATATGCCCCATCTGCGTGCCCTCTGTTGTTGCCGGTAGATCTAACCAGTCCGTAACGAAACACACGAACAGTGCCTCCATCGGGAGCTATCTGGTACTTGCTGATTCCACGCATTAGACCTCCACCGCCACGTGCTAACGACTCGTTACATGGTGTACAATCCGTGAGCACGCGCTCGCGCGCGTGTGAGTTCTGTTGTTATATGCTGGTATCCCTTTGCCGCTCTGCTGCTTCGTTGTGTTACCTTACAAAGTCACGGCCGCTGTGGCGTGCCATGAAATTCCTGTTGTCGAAATCCATTGCATTTCCCCTCGCCATGCTTCCCTGAGTGTGAGCACGCGCGCGATGTGTTTCTCGGCGTGGGATCAAGCACTCGCTTGTGAGTGTACGCTGCTGTGTCCCAGTGTACGTTTAGGTCATACCAGCCATTTTGGCAGGCTGGCATACATGGTGCGTCACCGTGCGGTTGCCTCCACATACGTTCATTTGCACGGGGCAGCCAGCAGTTGTGTTGTGCGTCGCAGTCTCCCGGGATGCCTGCTTGTGATTCTAGTTCGGCCCCAGATGAACGCTCTTTCCGTGGGACGGCCACAGGTAGGAAGTACTCGAACACACTGCTCGCCTCACCCGTCTTTACCGTTGCCGCCTGCTCGAAAAAGCCAGCGATTGATGAAAAGAGCGAAAAGAGACTGAGCGTGATCGCATGGAAAGACGGGGCAGCCAGCAGTTGTGTTGTGCGTCGCAGTCTCCCGGGATGCCTGCTTGTGATTCTAATTCGGCCTCAGATGAACGCTCTCTCCGTGGGACGGCCACAGGTGGGAAGTACTCAAACACACACACTGCTCGCCTCACCCGCCTTTACCGTTGCCGCCAGCTCGAAAAAGCCAGCGATTGATGAAAAGAGCGAAAGAGACTGAGCGTGATCGCATGGAAAGCCGGGGCAGCCAGCAGTTGTGTTGTGCATCGCAGTCTCCCAGGCCAGGTGTTCCCGTTTGCTCTCGATGCCCGTACGCCTTCCGTCTGCTGTGGTTTGCGTGTGCACCCTTTTGCTCGTACATTGTTTTTCTAGACTATTCTAGTATCGACCACATCTATCATTACTCCGTCTGAAGACTCCGTGTTTTTTCACACGCGTTGTACGATGATCAGGCCGAGTTGATGATGTTCAACCCGATAGGTTAACTTTTTTCTAGACTATATACCAGTATGGACCACATCTATCATTACTCCGTCTGAAGACTCCGTGTTTTTTCACACGCGTTTTACGATGATCAGGCCGAGTTGATGAAGTTGTTCCCGATAGGTAAGCTTTTTTTTCTAGACTATACTAGTATGGACCACATCTATCATTACTCCGTCTGAAGACTCCGTGTTTTTTCACACGCGTTTTACGATGATCAGGCCGAGTTGATGAAGTTGTTCCCGATAGGTAAGCTTTTTTTTCTAGACTATACTAGTATGGACCACATCTATCATTACTCCGTCTGAAGACTCCGTGTTTTTTCACACGCGTTTTACGATGATCAGGCCGAGTTGATGAAGTTGTTCCCGATAGGTAAGCTTTTTTTTCTAGACTATACTAGTATGGACCACATCTATCATTACTCCGTCTGAAGACTCCGTGTTTTTTCACACGCGTTTTACGATGATCAGGCCGAGTTGATGAAGTTGTTCCCGATAGGTAAGCTTTTTTTTCTAGACTATACTAGTATGGACCACATCTATCATTACTCCGTCTGAAGACTCCGTGTTTTTTCACACGCGTTGTACGATCATCACGCCGAGTTGATGGTGTTGTACCAGATAGAACAATTCCGATACATGCGTCTGCATGAGCCACTCATATCTCTGGCCGCCAAAAGCACATCTGCAGCACGATTTGGCGCATAAAGGGGGGTGATAAGGATTGTGGCTGCTAGCATGAATAGGATACATCTTATTGTTGATAGGATGCGGGTCGGTCAGGAGGTTTACCCTTCTGACCCCTACCCCCTTAGAATTGTCTACTCTGTGTACCCCCTAAGATGAAGTTGGATCCCCACTTCATCTCAGACCTTTGCTGATCGTCTCTCAGCAATAACAAGCAACTTTCCCATCTGAATAAGTGGTCGTGGACAAGCGTGTCAACGACAGAACCTTCATCTATCTCTAGGAGCAAGCTACCGCTCTCACGGCATCACTCCTTGAAACTTGGCGTCAGCTGGCATTACACGGTAAGCGGGTGCTGGACGCGGCTTCCACACTGCTGTGTGTTGTTGCCACGCTTTTTTCACAACCACCACCGGGTGGCTTGTTATTTGGTCTCACCACCGACGAGAATCTAGACTTAGTCTCTTCTCTGCTTCCCCTCCTGTAGAGATGTTTATTCGATAAAGTTACACCATTAGACTAGTCAGCACTGACTAGTCTAATGGTGTAACTTTATCGAATCAAAGATATACGCTCAGCTCGTTAGCACCCGGCTGGGTCACATTTTTGGGGTTTACGGCTTGGATCTCCGGGGACGGACCCCTCGCNCACCGGGTGGCTTGTTATTTGGTCTCACCACCGACGAGAATCTAGACTTAGTCTCTTCTCTGCTTCCCCTCCTGTAGAGATGTTTATTCGATAAAGTTACACCATTAGACTAGTCAGCACTGACTAGTCTAATGGTGTAACTTTATCGAATCAAAGATATACGCTCAGCTCGTTAGCACCCGGCTGGGTCACATTTTTGGGGTTTACGGCTTGGATCTCCGGGGACGGACCCCTCGCCAGGCGCTGACTGCACAGAACATAATGGTGCTTGGGAAAGTGAGTAGCCGGGATTCGAACCCGTGCGTGAAATTTTTGTCGCCAATTATTATTATTATCATTATATTATTTGCCATCCGACAAGTATAGGTGTAGACTATGAAACGAAACTCTCACTCAACTAGTACAATATCAACTAATTTCCTAAGATAAATAATAATGTTCCAATATCAACCAGTATTCGATCTCTCTCATGCTCCAATACAATCTTGTCACCCATGTGTCTTGTCGCTTACTACTGTTCATCGACACTGCATCCCCAGATCATTGGTGTCGATGCGTGTGGTGTTGATCTTATTCTTCCTGCCGCCTCTTGACGTCTTTGTCGCCAATTGTTAAACCATTTGTCAAGTCATCCGCTGACTAGACTAATGGTTTAACATTTGGAGCTGAAGGATGCACGCACGGGTTCGGATCCCGGCTGCTCACTTTCCCAAGCACCATTAAGTTCTATTCAGTCAGCGCGTGGCGAGGGGTCCGTCCCCGGAGATTCGAGCCATAAACCCCCAAAATGTGAACCAGTCGGGTGCAAATGAGCTCTGAGCGTATATCATTTTTCGCCAAATGTTTAACCATTAGACCTAATGGTTTAATATTTGGCGAAAAAGGATTCACGCACGGGTTCAAAACCCGACTGGTCACTTTCCCAAGCACCATTAAGTTCTATTCAGTCAGCGCGTGGCGAGGGGTCCGTCCCCGGAGATCTCTACTCACGAAGCCAAAAATTAAATGTGATCCAGCCGGGTGCTAACGAGCTGACCGTATATCTTTTACTCGATAAAGTTACACCATTAGACTAGTCTGACTAGTCTAATGGTGTAACTTTATCGAATAATGTTGGCTTGTGATGCTTTTGCGAAGCGCCCGCGGGAGTGGGACCTTGCAAAGGATACGCGCCTCGGAGGCCATCGCGATGTTTCGGGTGATTTTTCGTACGTTCGCCGTCCCTCGAAAGCTTTCTTGTCTGCATCGGCGGTCCATGAAGTGATTTCTGTGGCGGATATCCTCTGCATGGAGCGTCCTGAGTTGCTGGCTTTGTGTAGTGGGACCCGAGATTACAGCAGCATGCTTTCCACGTCTGCTACAACCTCTTCTGCATCCATGCCGGCGTACCGACCGGCCGATGTCCGCGGATATTCCTGTTGTGCTCTCCGATTTGACTCCGCTTACATCGACTTGGAACGCGTGGTGTGCACACAAATCGGGTGTCAGCCGCCCCACCAGCCTTCCCTCCATTTTTCGAAATCACATGGCACTTTTTTTCGGGGAATCTTTCACCCTCAAAACATTTGAATTGGAAACCTTTCAGCAGCACAAATCCACAGCGGTCTTTGCTCGCACTTCGGCACCAGTTGCTGAGGAACGCCGTGCTGCTCTGCGTGTCTTTTGGTCGGAAAACTGTTCGTGGGTCTGCGAACATTGGTGTTGGATACATGTGCTGGATGATTTTGTGTCACGCAGACTGGTAAGATTACCGTTTGGTAGGGGGCACCGCGATGATTCACGGGGCCCCTCCTTGCTGTGGGAGCCGCTCTTTGAGCACTCCCTCTTTCGTCCGTGTGAAGGACGGTCGTCGACCTCTCGTGAAGTTAATACATCACCAAAACAGTCTCACCCGATAAATAAGTGGCGTAGGCCGCAAACAAAAACCTCGTGTCTCCATGTAACACGGGCCCTTTTGTGATAGCTTCTTCTGCTGTTTGTGGGTGGCATGGTGTGATTTGGACGCTTTTTCTGCTTGGTTAGATCCGCTTCAACCTCGTGTGCACCAAGCTTTTATCACTGGGCGTTTGCTGTGGATATCTCCGCCTTTCGTACGGACCTCGGCTTGCTTTTCCCGAAGTTGCACCCGGCTTTACTGCTTCTGCTGCTCTTGGTGCTGCTGCCTCAACTGCGGTTGGTTATCCTACACATACATGCTGTTTCTGGCCCTGCTGCCCTTTCCACAATCGATCGTAGATAACCCTCTCTCTGGCCCTGTTCTTGTGAAGAAAGGGGACCCCATGTCCAGCGGCAATGTGGAACGTCTGGGCGACAATGTGGAAATCCTAGATTACGAACCCGAGGGCGAGGCTCCCACCACAGAGCAGTTTCCAACGGCCAGTGCGGGAAGCGAGAGCCCCCCCGTGCCCATTGTGGTCACCGTCAATAGTTTGCTGGCCATCATCGCCACAGCAGATCCGGCGGAACTGGAGCGGGCCTACAACACCGGGCGTGCCGTTCTGGAGGATATTGTAGAAGCGGCCCATCTGTCGTCCGATTCCCCCCCTTCCGCTCCTCCTTTCTCGCTCCCGCCGGAAGACAAAATAATTCTCTTGCCCCACGACGAGTTTATGGCGTACCAAAGGTTGAACGAGATGTGGTGCGACGGTCTTGCCGGGAAGATAGCAGAGGTGGAGGCGCGAGAGCAGGCGAAGTGCGAGGCGTGAGGCTGCTCTGGCTGCTGCGGCGAGGAAGCAGGAGGAGGAGCGTAAGGCTGTTCGGGCTGCTGCGGAGAGGAAGCAGGAGGAGGAGCGTGAGGCTGTTCGGCCTGCTGCCGCGAGGAAGCAGGCGGAGGAACGTGAGGCTGCTCGGGCTGCTGCCGCTGCGTGGAAGCAGGAGGAGGAGCGTGCGGCTGCTCTGGCGGAGCGTGAGGCGTATCTCGAAGCGGCTAGGGCGAAGCAGGGGGCGCTCCGATCGCGGCTGGAGGAGCTGGAGCCCCGCCACTAGGACCCGCGAGCAGCCCCCTACCCCCGTCATCGTGTTATCGTCCCCCCCCCCAAGCAATCCCGGGTTCCCCTTGGTTACCATAGTACCGCCTCGCCGCACGAGAAGGAGCGGGAGGTGGCGGCTTTTCCGACGAACGGAAAGGAGCGGGAGAGGACAGCGACTCCGGAGTTTTCGGTGACGTTGGGTCTTCCGGCCGGTGCTGAAGGCGGAGCATGGTTTGCGGCCGCAACTACCGTGTACGAGTTCCACGTTGGAGATACAGCGTTCCTGTCCCGACCGCTGGAGATGCCTGCAGAAGATGTAACGTTCCACGATGAGGACAAATTGGCAGCTCTTATGGCATGGGCTGGCATAAAACAACTCGTCCATGCACAATTTCCCCAACCGCACACCGTTGCTTTCGGGCACATTATCCATACCCCGTACATCGCGATACTTCCGCCTTCTTCACGGCAGTCCGTGTTCCAGCTTTTGCTCGCTCTCCGTCGTGCCACCTTTGATAGAGGTCCTCAAGGAACGTCGGTGGTGACACAAGATGGTGGACTCCAGCTGCCTCTTGCTCGTGCTGCCTCCAACAACGACTTCAAGCACGATCTACAAGCCCCCCGGCAGGCCTCTTCACGCCCTGCACATGGTTCTGGAGGGGACAAGGACTACAGTTGGTCGGCGGCTCCTGTGTCCAAGAGCTGGAAGAACCGTTGGGGTGACCAAGATTCGACGGCCAAGAGCGAGACGGACGACCACCGCCGCTCTACCCAGTCTTCGCGAGGGCGCGGCGTCGGAGATGACAGGCGAGGGCGAGCCGTGGGGAACCAGCCTACGAGGTCTTCGCCGGCGAGTCGCCATCGCCGGAGCAGGAGTCGGAGCGCAGAACGTCAACAGCGCACCAATCCTTCGTCTAAGCGANCAAGAGCTGGAAGAACCGTTGGGGTGACCAAGATTCGACGGCCAAGAGCGAGACGGACGACCACCGCCGCTCTACCCAGTCTTCGCGAGGGCGCGGCGTCGGAGATGACAGGCGAGGGCGAGCCGTGGGGAACCAGCCTACCAGGTCTTCGCCGGCGAGTCGCCATCGCCGGAGCAGGAGTCGGAGCGCAGAACGTCAACAGCGCACCAATCCTTCGTCTAAGCGAAGCCGCAGCCGGAGCCAGAACCGGAGCGGGGGCAACAGCAGGGCGACCAGCATTGACAGCAGTCGCGGCGGAAAAGGGGGACGGAGCTCAGGCCACGGTAGCAGGCAAGTGATGTTTGATCGGGGTGATTTTCGTACCTCTGGGTTGTTGGGGGAAAACAAAGATGCTTCAGAAGACGGTTCTCTCTGTTCTTCACTGCTTGTTCTACGCCCTCCCGCTGATGTAGGCCAACCGACCAGGTCTTCTTTGGCTTTCAAACATACCAACATGCAACTTCGTGAACATTCAGCCGCTGTGAAAAGCCATGCCCCTGCCCATGCCGTTATGGATTATCCCACATCTTCCTTGCCTTTGGACGAACGTGTTGAGTCACCACGCCATGCTGCATCACACGCTTCGGCTTCGGCTTCCCGTACTGAAATGCTGTTGGAACAAGTACTCACTCTCCTGCGTGCAAATCAAGTAGTGGATGCTGCTGCCGACGCGAATGTACAACCTCCTGTGCCCTCCCACGCTCCTAGCGTGCCATCACCTGCCCCATCTTCTTCCCCACCAACGCATCTGACACCGCTTTTTGGTTAACAATGTCNTTGCCTTTGGACGAACGTGTTGAGTCACCACGCCATGCTGCATCACACGCTTCGGNACCCATTGGGGTCGGTGGAAAAAGCGCATGACCTCGTATAGACGCCCTACCGGACGGACGCAACCCACATCGAAATCACCTCTTAGGACGCGCCCGCCGCTCATCTGACACATCAAACACAAAACAGTCCTCACACACAGAGCACTCGTTGGACGCTTCCACTTCGACAAAAAGGGGCTGGAGGGGTAAGAAATGACAAGCCGATGGCGGAGTTCAGCCGGTACTACCGTCAACAGCAACCACCGTGCACCCTTTTGGAGTCTCCCAAGATGTTCGTGTACAGCCTATTTCTTTGGATACTCCCCACTCTCCTCAATCACATCGAGTTTTTCGGCCCGCGGCCTCGTCGTCCGCCTCATCGCCTGGTGGTAATGGACATGACAGACCCGTTTCGGCAGTAACTTTGTGGTGTGGGCGACAGGGAGGTAAGACGTCGAGCGGTCTATCCCTGCTCAACTCGTCGTCTCGGGTTACAGAAGGACCAAGAACCTCGTCTTCTACTATTCGTCAAGACTCTCCTGGTGTTGTCAGCCGGGCCTCTTCTCGGATCGCACACGAGCCTTCTTCTACACTCGTCTGGAACCCCGTCGATCCTCCTTCGCTTCCGCAGCTTTCGTTGTCTTCGGCCGTCCGCTGCCTCCGTGTGACAGCACCTGATACGAATGCGTCTTCCTCTGCTGCCCACCACGTGCTGACTGCATCACTACCATCGGGAAAGGATGGTAGTGCCCACCATTCTGTGGAAGGTTCGGCTCCTTTGTCAAGGAGGAGTAGTCAAGAGCGCCCTGCGTCAATGAACAAACATCCGTCTGTTGCAGGAATGACTTCTCCTAGCGAACGGGTCTCTAATAGCCCAATGGCCTCTGCTAACATTGACCCCGCCGGAGCCGCCGCCCTTAGGCCGCCCTCCAGATCACGGAACGTTGCGACTTCGCCCGCTCCTGACTCGCTTTCTGGGTCCCCCCCGTCGGAGAAGAGGACCCGTCCGCTTGGTCCGCCCCCGCCTGTGCCTGGGGCCCGCTCTTTGCCCCTTCGCCCTGCACCGGCTCCCTCGTTTGATGACAAGTGCGAGTACGCTTCGGATAACGTCCTTCTCTAGAAACCTCCGTCTGTGTTCTCGCAATGGACTCCTTCGGCTTTTGACGAACTGGGGGTACGACATTCATGTGATGAGCAATTTATGATATCTGAAAAAGCGAAGTTGTTTGGAGATATGACGTCGTATGAATAAATTATGGCTGCAACAGATCCTAAAACTCACAAGTTTTGGGGTCGAAACGTGCGTCCTTTCGACTATGCTGAATGGGAGCGTCGTCGTGAAGAGATCGTGCTTACGGGGTCGTATGCCAAATTTGCTCAAAACCATGGCATTCAACATCATCTACTGGAGACGGGTACCCGCCTCCTTGCAGAAGCCAGCCCCTTCGATCGTGTTTGGGGTATCGTCATGTCTGCATGCTTTCCAGATGCTAGCGATCCATCCAAGTGGGCGGCGAGCGGTAAAAACTTGTTGGGAAAAGCTTTGATGGAAGTTCGACGCCTTTTGCGTGATCATCCCCTGTCTGCCGAAGATTTCCCCGCTTCCAATTCTCCCACGACGNTGAAGAGATCGTGCTTACGGGGTCGTATGCCAAATTTGCTCAAAACCATGGCATTCAACATCATCTACTGGAGACGGGTACCCGCCTCCTTGCAGAAGCCAGCCCCTTCGATCGTGTTTGGGGTATCGTCATGTCTGCATGCTTTCCAGATGCTAGCGATCCATCCAAGTGGGCGGCGAGCGGTAAAAACTTGTTGGGAAAAGCTTTGATGGAAGTTCGACGCCTTTTGCGTGATCATCCCCTGTCTGCCGAAGATTTCCCCGCTTCCAATTCTCCCACGACGCCCATTTCGCAGCCTCCTCTCCATGGACATCGACGCATCCATGAGGTTGCTACTGATACAGGTTCTTCGCTCGGAAGGACCCGGGCGAAGACCCAGCTTGTCTACATTTGGACGCTCCGGGGGAACATGCTCCTGGCGTTCATCTGGTGGCATCGACCTCCGCTTGTGCAGACGAGCCTCCTCTTCTCGAACATGGGCCCGATCTGGTCGGCGGCACGCTCCTGTTGGACTCGGACTCATACACCACCTGGGTCTGCTGCATGGAGGACCTACAGCCACTTCTCAAATCGCGCGAGTGGCGCTTCTGGACTCTGAGTCTCCTGCATCCTTCGTTTCCGACTCCGTGGTCACCGCCATGATAGCTGCTGAGCCCTGACAGCTGGCAGCGTTCGTGTTTCGCCCTCTCGTCATTGGGGTGGGTTTGGTGATGGAGCCGCCCTTGTGACCACCCGGTCAATTCGTCTCACCGTTAATTTTCTCCATGGAGATAGATCTACCGCTTCCTTGGCGGTCTGGGCCTGTGTTGTTTCAGACGCCGCCATGGGGCACGCCGTGCTTCTGGGTCGTGATAGCTGGATGCGCTTCAACTCTCGCGTGTTCACCACCCTCCCCCACCCTGGACCGGACGGCCGGGTTATGGGCGAGCTCACGCTCTCTCCGCGTTTTACAGCTGGCGCTTGCGTTTCCGCTACACACGACGACGCTCCTGCCTCCTAGTTTCACCTTAAATATGCAGGGAGCTCGGGAATTTCTTTGGGGCCGGAGCCTGCACTCGTTGAGGTGAACCTCGTTCGTTCGTCTGGCATGCCTGCGCTGATTGGAGAGTATCTGGTATCGTTCAAACCCGAAGTGGGTGCGCTTTCGTCCCCAGATGCATTCGTTTCCAATGGTCCCCAGCGTATTCCCCTTGCAGGTTGTGCCGAGCTCGAGCCTGGAGACGTTATTGGAGTGTCTGCCGCGCCGCTACTTCGAGTACCGGTGGAAACCCTGAAGGCGGCACCATCTTCGATTCCTACCGGCCTCACAACACCTACATCACCACCTCGGGTCAACGCCGTTGGCCCCAAGTCCGGGACTCACCGCTCTCCGGACCCAGCCTCCGCCCCGCCTCCTCCGAAGCCGCCTCCACAAGAACTACT